GTGCTAGGTTTACTTAGTGAGCACCAATTGTATGCCAAATTTGAGAAATGCGAGTTTTGGTTAACTGAGGTGAAGTTTTTGGGGAATATAGTGTCTAGAGAAGGAGTAACTGTGGACTCCTCAAAGATAGATGTCGTACAGGATTGGGAACAACCCAAGAATGGTTTTGAAATCTGGAGTTTCTTGGGATTAGCGGGATATTATTGACGTTTTGTAAGGGACTTCTCTAGACTAGTTGCACCTTTGACTAGGTTGACTAGAAAGGGTATCAAATTTGTGTAGAGTGAGGAGTGTGAAAAGTCATTCTAAGAGCTTAAGACTAGATTGACTACCGCACCGGTTTTGATAATTCCGGAAAGGGGTTTGAATTACACTGTCTATTGTGATGCGTCTGGGGATGGACTTGGTTGTGTCTTGATACAAGAGGGAAAAGTTGTGGCCTACGGTTCACGATAATTGAAAACTCATGAGAAAAATTACCCCACTTATCATCTGGAATTAGTAGCGGTGATTTTTGCTTTGAAAATTTGGAGGCATTACTTGTATGTTGAGAAGTTCGAGGTTTTCTCCGATCATAAGAGTCTAAAGTATTTGTTTTCTCAAAAAGACTTGAATTTACGATAACGAAGGTGGATGAAATTTATGGAGGATTATGACTTTGAGTTACACTATCATCTGGGGAAGGCCAATGTGGTGGCCAATGGTTTGAGTCAGAAATTTGTGAGTAGTTTGGCAAGTGTGGCCATTCGAGAATGGGTTATGCTCAGTTCAGTGAGAGTGCTACCTTGTTTACTTTGATTGCGCAACCTACCTTGATTAGTAAGGTCATAGAGGCACAACAAGGGGACCGTGAAGTAGAGTCTATCCGGGTTAAAATTTCTAATAGGAAGGAAGAGAAAGGTTTGAACGTTCACTCGAATCTAAGTGTACGTTACCTAGACCGTTTGTTTGTACCGAAATCTTGTAGAGTGGAAGTACTCCAAAAATTTCATCACTCACGCCATGTGGTACATCTGGGAGGCACCAAATAGTACCATGATCTTAGTTGTCAGTTTTGGTGGAGGGGTATGAAGCGAGATGTCGCTTTATTTGTATCGAAGTGCCTTACTTGTTAACAAGTGAAGGCCGAACACCAAAAACCAGCAGGTTTGTTACAACCCTTACTGATAGCCGAATGGAAATGGGAGCGTGTTACCATAGATTTTGTAGTTAGGCTTCCTAGAACACAACAAGGCAATGACACCGTTTGGGTGATTGTTGATAGGTTGACTAAGTCTACCCATTTCATTCCGATGTGCACCAGCGACTCAGTTGAACACTTGGCAGAGTTGTACATTAGAGAGATAGTTCGACTTCATAGAGTCCCTGTGACTATTGTGTCAGATAGGGATCCTCGTTTTAATGCCCGGTTATGGCAAAGCCTTCAAGAGGCATTGGGAACTAAGTTGACTCTTAGCACCGCTTATCATCCTCAAAATGATAGACAGTCGGAACGTACCATTCAGATTTTGGAGGACATGCTTAGAGCTTGTGTCCTTGATTTTAAGGGGCCTTGGGGAAGGCACTTACCATTGATCGAGTTTGCTTACAACAATAGCTACCAAGCTAGTATTGGGATGGCACCGTTTGAGGCCTTGTATGGCCGACCTTGTAGATCACCGGTTTATTGGGTCGAAGTGGGTGACGCATCGTTACTGGGTCCGAAAATTATTAGAGAGACAACCGAGAAAGTTGTTCTTATTCGGAAGAGGTTAGTTACGGCCCAAAACTGACAAAAGAGTTATGCCGATAAGAGGAGAGGACCTTTATCTTTTGAAGTTGGTGACCATGTGTTTCTAAATATCTCACCAAGGCGGGGTTTGATGAGATTTGATAAGAGTGGCAAATTATCTCCAAGATTCATTGGGCCTTTTGACATCTTAGAGCGAATTGGGGAAGTGACATACCGGTTAGTTTTACCACCACAACTTTCGAGAGTTCACAACGTATTTCATGTAGCTATGCTTAGGAAGTATGAACCCGACCCTTCTCATGTGCTTGATTGGGTTGACTTGGAGGTAGATGAGGATGCCCCTTACGAAGAACGATCGGTTCAAATATTAGATACCCGGGAGTAAGTGCTACGGGGCAAAACTATACCGTTGGTAAAGGTGTTGTGGAGACACAATGGGGTTGAAGGAGTGACATGAGAACGGGAGGCGGAAGTCCGCTCTAAGTATCCGGATTTGTTTGAAAATGCTTAAGTTATTTTTCCTTGTAATATTCCCTAGTGTTTGAGGGAAATGTGTGAAAATTGTTGACCACATGTTGTTATGTATGCTGTTTTGTTAAGCATGAAGTAGTTACGAATTGTCATTTCTTTGCTTCATATTTAGGTTAATGTGGACGGTTGTTGTTAATGAGATAACCATGGTAGAAATGGCAACAAAGAAAAAATGGTTGAGAGTTAATATTGTGATTTTAAAATGAAATAGCGTGGTTTTGATCGCTAGAAACCCCCTTTGTTTGGGTAGTTTGATTTGAAATTTTGGGGAGGAAATTCTTTAAGGGGGGGAGGTTGTAGCGATCCCGATTTTGACCCGTCTCTTGTGGTGTTTCGGGCTCAGGTTGGTATGGTTTTGAACGGTGTTACGTATCTTAGTTTCCCTGTATTCCCCTTATTTTGGTTATCGGGTTGTAGCGGTGTGTTTGGAACAGGTAATGTCTTATATTTGTATCGGGTTGTAGCGTATCTTTCATGTTTTGCCACTTCGCTAACTATGTCGGGGATCGAGCTGCCCGGTCAGCTCGCGGAGGTCCAGGGGCAACGCCCCTAAAGCAAAAATACAAAATGCATTCAAAGTTGCTTGTCAGCTCGAGCGGCCGTTTATGCACTCACGCAGAGAATGTTTGGTTCAAGAAGTTTGACCTGTCTGCAAAAGTATTGGGAAGGTGTATTCGACGCTCGAGTGAACCATGTTATATTAGTTCATGAATCTGATATTTCAGATCACTTTTGTATCTCTCTCTCTCTCTCTAAAAACATTTTATCTCCCTTCTCTCTACATCTCCCTACACAAACTAGATCAAAAACCTTGATTTCTTAAGATCCATTTGAGTTTTGCCATTACTTCTTCATCAAAGTGGGTTATTATCTCGAGGGCTTCGTTGTGTGCGGTGAAAATCGAGTTTTGGCATCGTTGATTTTGGGGTTTCATCTCTATTCTTCTTCAAACTTGAGGTAGGGATCTTCTTAGAGTTATATATATATTTTTTGCAAGATCTATATGATTTTTGAAATCATTTTTTGATAGCTTTGAAAATTGATTGTTGATTCAAGAAGTTGAGCAATTTTGAAAGTGAGTTTATGTCTTGTTCTTTTAAAATGATCTTATGGGTTTTGATCTTCGTTGATTGAAGAAAAGATGATTTTGGGAAGTTTTCTTTCAAAAGATTTGAGTTGTATAGTTTTGGTGAGAAAACCTAGAATTTGGGGATTTATTTTAAAGATACTAAAAATCCATTAATGATATTGCTATATTTATTTTGTGTGTCAAAATAAATGGATGTTTGGAAAATTTCTTATTTATATTTATATAAATGATAAATTTCAGGGAATATGAGAATTGTTGTTTATTTTGGAAATTATTGTTCAAAACGTTGAAATAGTTTTGAAATGACCAATTGTTGAGGATACTTGAGAAGAGGGAATTATGTTATTCCTTGGTTGATGAATTGGAATAAAAGTATTTATATTCATCTTGTGTTATTGGCATATCAATTCATTTGATTACATTAAACTTTGAAAGTTGATTTGAAAACTTGCATTGAGAAAAAAATGTTGAGAAACAAGTTTTCATGGAATGGTTTTTGGGTAAAAACGTTGGTAAGTCTTAATAAGTGGTATAGATGATATTGAATAAGGTGGCCTGAGAGTCCGGGGTGAAAGACCAAAAAGTTGGGCGGATAGGTGTTGAGCCTTCCGGTTAATACCGGTAAAAATAACAAGTTGGTAGTACTTGTATAGTCTACACGCAGACACCGACCTAGGGATTACCAAACTCGTATTTACCGCTCTTGAAATGAATTATTAAGTTTTGAAGAATTGAAATTGCATGACATCATTGAGCATGATGGTTTTCAAAGATGAAGATGTGATTTTCTTTTAAAAGGGCATAGCATGACATGTACATTTCATCTCCTGAGACTTGTATAAAATGTATATACTTTGTTAAGAATTTCTTACTGGGCTTTATGCTCTCACTAAGGGATTTTTGTGCAGGAAAAGCGTGGTGATGCCTCCCAACTAAAGGCGAGGAAATGTGTGTTGAGAGTATGAAACTGTTATTTTGGTGTGACTCTGTGTATAAGCCAAGGGCTGTATGTGTGTGGGTTTGAATAACTGTTTTGTGTAACCAAGCTCAAGGCTTGGAAACTTGTAAACCCTTGGGGGTATTTATTTGTTTATTTACTTGTTATTGGATTAATGTATTGTTGCATGAAGAACTATTTTATCATGTAATGTAAGTTTGGAGATTTATATTCGATTTTCCTTGAAAGAGCCATGATTGTTGTATTATCATTTGGCTTAGAAATTTGGGGCCTTACAAATTTCAAAAAATTCATAATGAGTTTAGCCAAACTTTGTGATCTGCCGAGCATTTGAGAAAATCCATTGCTGGAATTCTGGAGAGGCACACAAGCAAAACAACATCAAACATCTATTTTGCATTTTGACTTCCCAAATTCATTTCCAAAACTACAACTTCAGAATCACATGCATATATATATATATGAATTTTTATGTAATTTATTGTGTATGAGATTGAAGATGTAAAATCTCAAATCAATAAGACAACAAAATTTCAAATCGTATCAAGACCTAGATCAATAAAACAAAAAGACACAAATATCAATTTGTGAGGAATAGATGGTGCAGAGTAGCTTTATTTTTTTCACTAAATTGGCAACAGTACAAATCATCCCATAGTAAAATACCGTCTTAGTTAGTAGCAAGCTTGCTACAAATCTTCAGACTTCCCACCGGAATTTCCAGAATGGGACCAATACTCATTAACAAGTTGCCCAAATAGTGAGCCCTCTTTGCTCATGAGCTTCGTTGGTTCATCATACTCTACTAATTGTCCTACATTTGTAAATAAACAAGAAAAAAAAATGATTGTATCACTTATAAATTTTTGATAAATAATGGTTCATATCAATATAATCAGGATATGAAGTTGACTTACCATCGCTAATAGCAAGCACCATTGTGCAGTCCATCACAGTTGGTATTCTGTGGGCTACTGCGATAATAGTGCAATCCTCAAATTCTGTCCTTATGATTTTCTGAATGATAGAGTCCGTTGCATTGTCAATTGAAGCAGTGGCTTCATCAAGCACTAGTATCTTCCTTCTCTTCAATAGTGCACGTCCCAAACAAAACAACTGTCTTTGTCCCATGCTCCAGTTTGATCCATTTTGCATAACTATAAACTGCTTTGTTAGTCCAACGAATTGTATATATATGTCTATCTATACTATTTGCAACTTACCTAAGGAGTACAAGCCCTCTTCTTTCTCTTGAATAGCCTCCCGAAGCTGACATTTTTCAAAAACCTTCCACACATGATATAGCAATGGTTTCAATTAGTCCAAGCAAGTTTAGTTGCAAATTAAGTGTGATAACATTTAATTTTCTAATTAACTATTGCATTTGTATTTTAGATCCACAATTTAGCTAAAAATTTGTTTGTTTGCACCATAATTTAGATTTAATAAGTAGCAGAAACCTTACCTCCCATATTTCTTGATCCATATGCTCTTCTAAAGGGTCTAGGTTGTATCTCATGGACCTACTAAAGAGAGTTGGATCTTGGGGAATGACACTGAAGTGTGATCTAAGGTCATGAAGCCCAATTGTACTTATATTTAGGTCATCTATGACAATCATTCCCTCTGTAGGTTCTACCAGGCGAAACAAGGCACTGATCAAAGCTGTTTTTCCATTACCGGCCCTGCCAACAATTCCAATTTTGTTCCCTCCTTCAATTATGCAGCTAATTCCTCGAAGTACTAGAGGTGCATTAGGCCGACACCTAACTTGCTTAAGTACCATTTTTTTACTTTAGCATACTATACTATACATAAAAACGAGATTACATTAATTACAATAAGGGTAAATTACACTAACCTTCTAAGAGAGTTAGAGAAAACATAGTAAGCCTTAAAAGGTTAATATAATGACATTGTGCTCCCTTAAGATTTTAATTTACGTAACACTTAGCTCAATTTTTATCAGAAATTCATTTGCCATATAGATGAAAAAGGATGTTTTCATCACTTTCACATTGCAATATATCTTACTTTGTTTATCTTTGTATCTTCACACTTTACTTAAAAGGAAACTGATGTAATTGTACTAAAATTTAGGACTTGCTATATTTTCTTCGAACCTCAGAGAAGCCTAGTGTAATTTACCCTTACTATAATAAAATATTTACCTTCAAATCATGTATCTCAACTCTACCAATTTCTGGCCAGTTGAGGGCAGGTCGATTGTCTTGGATTATTTCAGGGGCTTCACTATGAATATGCATGTACTGTTCTAGCCTTTCTACGGCAATAATTAAATTTTCCAACAGACATAGGGTTTGGACAGAAAAAACAAGAGTTGCATTCAGTGAAAGACCATATGATAGAGCCATTCTGATAAATCCTGTCATCACAACATTAATAACCAATTTGCTCATTAGACAAACAAACAATTGATCATTATATTCATATAATATGTTTTCATATTCATATATCATTTAGGTGAACTTAAAGAACTCTTTTACTTTGTCAATTGTTCCCTTGAAATGATTTTTATGCGTACCTATTAGACACTAAGCGCAAGTTTTTGAACATATAACTAAAAAGCTATAAGGTCATTATGAAAAAGTCAACTATTATCTATATTTTTCTATACGTTTTTTTGTAAAAAGTCAAAAAGTTAACTAAAATAGCTAGTTCCCAAAACAACCATAAATTATCCGACTTAAAAAATAACTTCTATGAAAATTATGCCAACCATTCTAGGTATATACTAGAGCTATATGAAATTAAGAGAAAATGTCATACAGAAAATTAATAATGATCTTTAACCTGATTTAGAAGCGCCATAAGAATGCAAAGTCATGGCAAGCACTGAACCCGACAAAACAATTACATTTAGGATTTCCAGGCATTGGATCAACCACTCATTTGTTGAAAATTTGTGGAAGAATGAACTTGCATTTGCGTCAACAAGCTGCAAATACTCTGAAAAGAATCGCTCTTCCTCGCCAAAAGCCCTTATGGTCACTGCTCCAACATTGGATTCAGCAAGATAGCTTGCCATTGAAGACATAGTTATGCCATTAATTCGCACCCGCTCTTTGGCAGAAGTAGAGTAAAATCTCTGTTTTGTAAGATAATACACGTAAGCAAATAGTAAGTTGGTTTGAGATGCGATAGAAAAACATAGAACTACTGTGATTGGTGTATTACCTGTAACACTATGGTTATATAAACCATGGATATGATGACAATCAAGATTGGCCGGGTAAGGAAAACCAATACTCCCAAGGTAAAAATTGTGTTCCAGGTTGACGCTATACTCAAATTGATATTGAAAGCCAATTCAAGGTCAACAACACTCAGATCAGAAGATACCTATGTAAGTATTAATAATACATGTAACCATAATAATAATGCGGAATTAAACTTAACAGGATCTTGAATTCAATATAACTCAAGAATAAAACGAACATACCTTTGTCAGCCATTGAATTAGAGAAGTTGAGAAAATACCCCTTAGAGTTGAACCTTTAATTCTTGGCTCACCTTCTTCTCTCTGTTTTTCTTAATTACGATGACTATAAAACTTAGAGTGATGGAAAATACTTATAATATGAAAGGCGAGTCACCCATCCTTATATAGAGGAGAGAAGAGGGCCAGATAAACTCTATCAGAAGAATTTCTAATCCATCAAGGTTTCCTTCTTATCTTAGAAGAGTGATTATATTAAAATTCTAATTACTGAACTTTATATATAATATTGGATTTATCTAATTGTGGAGTCCAAATAAATTAAAACATGTAAAAAATATGTAGGCTATTGGGCCATACTAGAAAATAAACTCAACATTCTCCCAATTGGCCCATTAAGCCGATTATGATGCAATTATGAGTTTTTTTTTTTTTCAAAAATATGCAACTTATAAAAATTTTTGACTCATTGGATTCCACACTAAAAACTTTGACACATGATCATGAATTTTAAAAATAGCCAATAAGTTCAGATATATTAGAAACTATAATACTGTGATTACTTCAGATCACCAATGTGAGTCATAGCAGTTATATAACATTTATGTCATATTTCCTTCTATGCACTACACCATCGATAACCTTCACCAACCCAGTCCATTATCGGGATATATAATTATTTGCCTGAAAGGCCCCTGTAATTTGTCTTGTTAAGACATTTCCTGTTTATCAATATTCTATTTAATGTGTACACACACTTTTAGAAACAGAAAAATTAGAAACAAAATTATTATTGTGCAAATAGTGTCAAATAAAAATAAGCACTCAGAATTAACCATACATATCAAGGGTTGCTTAAAAAACTCATCCTGATAACATGCTCTTTGTATGTCTTTGGTGGCAATCCCTTTGTGAATGGATCAGCAATCATAAGAGAAGTGCTTAAGTTTTCAATTAACACTTGTTGTTTCTGGACTCTTTCTCTAACAACTAAGTACTTTACTTCCATGTGTTTCGAACCACTGGAGTACTTTTCATTCTTAGAGAAAAAAACTGCTGCAGTATTGTCACAATTTATCTTCAGTGGCTTGGCAATTGAGTCAACAACACCAAGTCCTGAGATGAAATTTCGCAACCATAAAGCATGATTTGTAGCCTCAAAGCATGCCATAAACTCAGCCTCCATAGTAGATGAAGCAATAGTGGACTACTTCACACTCTTCCATGAAATTGCTCCACTAGTTAGAAGAAAAACAAAACCCAATGTAGATTTTCTACTATCAAGGCAACCAGCAAAATTTTAGTTTGAGTATCCGATAACTTCCAACTGTTCTGATCTCCTATAGGTGAGCATATAGTCCTTTGTTCCCTAAAGATATCTCATAACTTTCTTCACTGCTTTCCAATGTTCCATTCCAGGATTACTTTAGAATCTTCCTAACATTCCAACTGCAAAACTAATATCTGGCCTGGTACATGTATGGGCATACATCAGGCTCCCTATAACTGATGCACATGGAATGTCCTTCATTTGTTTTCTTTCCAAGTCATTCCTTGGACACTGTTTTTCACTTAATTTATCACCCTTCATGATGGGTGCATCACCGGCTGAACAAAACTGCATATTGAATCTCTCCAAAACACGATCAATATATCCTTTTTGAGATAGTCCTAGCAAATCCTTGAGATCGATCCCTAAAGATCTCTATGCCAATAACATAGTTTGCCTCGCCCATATCGACCATTTTAAAGTTCTTGGAGAGATATTCCTTGGTTTCATGCAATAAGCCAAGGTCATTACTAGCTAACAAAATGTCATCCACATATACTACCAACATAATGAACTTGCTCCCACTAACCTTCAGATATATGCACTGATCAACTACATTTTCCTTAAATCCGAAAGAGGTAATGGTATCATTAAACCTTAAATACCATTGCCTAGAAGCTTGTTTAAGGCCATATATGGATTTCTTTAATTTGCAAGCTAAATGTTCTTTACCTTTCTTTGCAAATCCTTCGGGCTGCTCCATATAAATTTCTTCATCCAAATTCCCATTTAGAAAAACAGTTTTCACATCCATTTGATGCAACTCTAAGTCATAATGAGCTACCAATGCTAGGATGATTCTAAGTGAGTCCTTCTTAGATACTGGAGAGAAGGTCTCTGTATAGTCTATGCCTTTTTTTTGAGTAAAACCTTTGGCAACAAGTCTGGCTTTAAATCATTCGATATTGCCTTTTGCGTCACGTTTGGTCTTGAAAACCCATTTACACCCGACCTTTTTGCAGTTATGAGGCAATTAGACGAGATCCCAAACACTATTCTGTTCCATGGATTTTAACTCTTCATTTATAGCATTGACCCATTTAAAAGAATGATCACTATTCATGGCTTGTGAAAATGAGACTGGATCTTTGTTAATCCCAATATCAAAATCAGATTCCTGTAGATACACCATGTAGTCATCTGAAATGGCAGGCTTTCTTTCCCTCTAAGATCTTCTCAGAACTGCCGATTGTGGTGCTTGCTGAAATAAATATGAAAATTTAAATATTTCATTTCAATTTTTATGCCACAGATAGAAGATGAGTGGGAGAGAGGAAAAGAGACCCAAAACAAAAAAAGAGATAAGATTATTATATCACTTAACAAACTGTGATAGGATGAATTATAATTATGAATTTCATAAATAATGTAATTATACTTGACCGAATGTATTATTTTTGTAATTTTAGAAAATTCATTTGTTTTAATTTTACCAATTGAATTATTATATATCTATTTGTTATATAATACTTAGAACAAAACAATAATAGCAATAAAAAAATAAAAATTGTGTAACTCATGCCATGTTTGTGATGTTATCTTTTTGATTAAAAAGTCAAGAAACTGAATAGTGCTAAAATGGATTTGGCATGTACCCAAAAAAAAAAAAGGGGAAGGGGGGGGCGCCTAGGAAATCTTTATACCAATTTGAAAAGACAACAATTCTTGTGAGTGAGTGCATAAGTGTTTACATCTTTGGAAGGGTAAAATGTAAAAATTTTAAGTAACAAACAAAAATATGATGTTACTTATTTGCATTTTCCCATACAATTAAAAAACTATTCCATAAATACATTAACATTTTTTTTTATCTCTTAAAAAAGGTGAAAAGCCACTTAAAAAGCTACTTTCAAGTACTCTTTTAGTTAAAAAAAAAATAATAAAAATAAAAATTACTTAATCTTATTTAATTTTTACTAAAAATTATTTTTAATTAATTAACAAATAAATTTATCAATCATTGTTTAATCTTGTGCATAGCACGGATTATATACTAGTATTAATGCATGCATTCAATGACTGTACATTCTAAATACATATAATTATGTGGAAATATAATATAAATAATATAATTACTTTTTTAATCATTTTCAATAATATAATTATATATATATATATATTTTCAGTTGGTGGTAATTAACAATCTAATCTAATATGTCTAATGTTTTTAAGGACACTCGGTCCAAAAATCTAAATTTCAATTTTGTTTGCCAAAATATCCAGGCGTTGAAACACTTTGTCCAAAAGGACAAACTCAAGCAAAATGATCGAGGCTTGAGTTGGACACAATCTCTTTAAAGTAGATTTCACATTTACTCTGGTGCTTCGAGATTTAACAGTGTCTACTTTTGAGGATACAACGACTAATACTTGATTCGCAGCACTACAAACTCAAGTCTGGCAAACCAAAACTATGTTGCAACTCTCGCTTTCTCTTCCTAAGATTAAATGCAGAATAGATGCAAAAGACACAATATGACGAAGAAGAATGAAGAAATGTTGAAGAAAATTGGTTGGAATGGCAGGCTATTTGTAGCCAACCATGCATCTATTCAGGTAGGCCTTGGTAGCTGTTCGGACATGGCTAGATAGTTGCGACCGGAACAATACTGGTTCGGAAAGGAGGAGACCTGAAAATTCATAAATTTGAATTTTAAAATTTGGTGTAAAATTTGAATTATTTCCGTAAGGGAAAAAAAAATTCCCACAAGAATTTGAAAAAATTCAAACGAATTTTGTTCAAAAAATTAAAGTTAGGACCCGACTCGACCCACACCACGCACCCACGCTCGGCTGGTCAGACAACGGTGGCGGCACGCACGTGCGTGTGTGGTAGTTTTGGGCCAAGCCCACTTCATCCGTAATTCCCCTCCTACAAAACTTGGGATGCCCCTTGAGGCCCATCCCAAGTATGGCAAGCTAGAGTATATATACTCATATAAATCCTTAAGCCTTTTCTATGTTGGACAAGCACATTTCACAAATGTGTAGCAAACCTACCTAAAGCCATTTCCATGAACCCGAAAATGCACTTTGAATTCTCATTCATCCGGAAATAGTTTTGAGCAACCAAATTCATGATGTTATTCACTACGCGACATTAAACATGAACCCAATTAGAAAAGTTAAAAATAACGCTTGGGTCCTACCTTAATTAATGCTCAAAGTTAGCAAAAAATAAGATATTACAAAGCCATTTCCAACAAGACATACCAAAAGATATGGCTTACAGTATACTCAATATCCAGCAATACTAGAAACAGTGATGCAAATTGAATATGAAAGACTAAAAATCCATGAGTGGATATGCCTTTACTCTAGGAGGCAATGCAGTCTCTTAGAAATTATCCAAATAAACATACATTAAAAGGTCTACAATGGAATCTAAGCATCATATAAATTGATGAAGAAGTAGAGTGGCTTCGAAATTTTCTAGAAGAGATTCCAGAGTGCCCTAAAAATGTGCTAACTATATGCTTTCATTAGTGAATTAGAAATAAGACAGGCACAAAGTGTGATGTATAACGAAAAGTCTAGACATATTCGTCAAAGACACAATACTATTAGACAATTACTTTCACATAGAATTATTTCCATTGAGTGTATAAAGCTAGAGGATCCATTGAATAAAAGGCTAGCTAGAAAGAAATTGTATTATTTATCAAGGGAAATGGGATTTAAGCTTATTATTTGAAGTCACCATAATGGCAACCCAACTTAATTGATTGGAGATGCCAATTCTAGTTCAAAGGGGCAACTGAATTATGGATGACTCCTGTATCACTAAAGGAAATTATCTCTTACCCAAAGATTATCTCCTACCCATTTCTATGATAAAAAGAGTGATACATGTAGCGTTTGTAGGGTGAGCTTTGCTCTTAATGACTCTTATAGCTTGAATGACAGTGTCGCTTATCCCTCACCGCCGCTGCTTTCCCCTTCCTCTCTCTCACACACGATGGATGTCGCTTTTGCTGCTCTCTCACCGCCGCTACTTTTGCCTCCCTCTCTCACTCTCTCACACACGACGCCAATGGCTGTCGCTCCTCCCGCACCGCCGCTCGTGAACATATTGTGACCATTGCCACTGATCACTAATCTGAACAGATCGTGAACCATGATCGTGAACCGTTGCCACCGATCGTGAACCGTGAAGCTCTCTGAACAGATCTGAACAGATTGTTGATGATGCTGATATATATATACATATATGCATATGTCTGTGTGCATGTGAGATGAACAATCTCAGACCTCTCTCTTTTTTTTCTTTTTTATGTTGTTGTTAATGATGATATATACAATTTCAGATTTATTTTATTTTTTTTTACAGTTGTTGATGATGATTGTTGATGGAATATACTGAAAAATAGATTAAAATTTTTTTTTTGTTGTTTTTTTGTGTTGAACAAATATACTGAAAAACAGATTAAATATAAATATATATTTTTTTTGTGTGTTGAACAAAATTATAAAAAAAAAAAACAAACAAACAAACAAACACTCCGATCACCGTTAGGGGACAGGGACGAGGAGAGTGATGGGTTTCCTGCCGGGGATTAGGAAAGGGGACGGGGACTTTTGTGCCTTCGGGGATCCGGGACGGGGAGTGTAATCCCTGGCCCCGCCCCGCCCCGCCCCGGCCCATTGCCATTCTTAAGTATGTCCGATAGGCCTTTTACTAGGGAATGTTCAAAGTCAAAAGCTACCTATCTCGATGCGGTGTGTTACCTTTATGTACTCTATCTTAGCCTGCATGTTGTTACATGTCTATTGTCGTCATTTTCCATTCATGTGAGGATTATTGGAGAAATGGTTTGTAAAACCATAATAAGTTTTGGCTAGTTGTTTGTGAAACCATAAGTTTTGGCTAGTTTGCGAAACCATGAATTTTGGCCAACTTTAAGCCTAATTTGAGATGAGATCCAGACACCGATTAAGGTGTGTTCAGGTGGAAACGCATTATTTTTCGAGTGGTCATTCACTTCCTATATATGGTTGTTCAAACCATTTTCTGAGCCAATGCGAAATTGACTCCGAAAAAGGCTTCGATAACACAATAATTGAACGAATTCAAATTTGAATTCATCTCTGGTTTCGTCCAAAGACTTCAAAGTGTTCTAATGGAAATTTAATTTCAATTGTGATTTAGTTTCTTCTCCTTCTAGGAGCATCTATCAAATTCTTGATAGAGGTTCATACGATGAAGATCGGTTTTATAGTCGAATTTGAAACAATGTGTTCACCGCGTTTCAGGCGTATTCTCAAAGATGAATCGCTGAAATTCGAACAGATCTATGGCTGTTCGCAATGCCATCTCAGAGTCTATAAATACCCCACTCATCCTGAGTTGTAGGATATAGAAATTCGAATCGAGCTAGAGAGTTTAGTCTCTTCAATTTTGAAGTCAAAAATTGCTCTTCGTTCTTGGTGTTTCTTACGTAGATTTCTGCATTAGAGAGTCTTTGAGTCTTAGGGAGAGTACAACACAAGTTTGGTTCTCCATATCTGAGATCCTTGTGCTACGATCTTAGATTCTAGTCATTGTATGCTAGGAGGTTGTCTCTAATAACCGGAGCACCTTGGTGAGGGCAAATTAAACCTTAAGAAAATTGTGACCAACACAAATCTCGACTAATTTCGGTATTGTACTATTTTGTGTTATAATTTCTTGTTTATGTTTTTAGTATAATCTTCCTACATATTTGGTTGAAGTAGCATTGTTATGGTTTATTGCTCTGTTTTTTTCTGAAATAATTTTAATATTTTTTTATCTTTTTTTTGCTTTATTTTAATTATAAGTTAAACCCACAATCACCGATTCACACTTATATCCACTTTGTAAGTAAATTAAACTATATCATTGATAATAACTTCTGTATAGGGATATGAATCAGTGAGATAGTGGGATAGGTGAGAGTGTAGTGTATGACAGTCTTGGAGAGAGAGAGAGACCAATTGTCTTCGGGAAGAGGACGAGACTTGTATTGGTAAGATAAGGGTTCAGATGAGAGAGAGAGTTATTGGATGATGATGAATTAATGGAGAAGAGAGGAATTATAATATTAAAAAAGAGATTACAAGGCTCTCTCATCGAGCCACACATGTTGGTAAAATTAAATCATTAAAAAAATG